CAAAACCGCTGAAATAGCAGACGTACTGACTTGTTTTATGTCCTTAACCTCCTGTTTAATGGTATTGGCTGCCCTTTTGGGTATACCACGACAACCAATGCACCCAGGGCAAGATGCGTGCTTGGTATAATTGAAGAAATTAGGCGGAAGAAAAAGGCGGTGGGCCTTTTCACGATCGGCCATTTGGGAACGGACTTCATAAACAAGAATACAGTCATCATCTTGCTTTTTAGATGCTTTTAGAGGACTCTTGGCTGTCAAAATACGTCTTCCAGTAACATGAGTTGGAAGATAAGCTGCTGTCGACTTCTCTACTTGCGAGGAAAGGATTTGAACAAGCTTTGCTGGGGTTGTTATAATTTGGGCTTGACTAGTTGTTGAAGATGATGGCTTTGGTGCATTTGCTATTGAAGTTTCAATATCCTCATCGCTATACTCAGGGTCTGTTGAGGTGTAACTGAGACCATCTGCCGTAGAATCTTCTGAATCTTCATCGTCTTGTTTCGCATCATATTTGTTGTCCTCCTCGCTGTCGTCATCTTCCTTGCCGTCATCATCACCCTCATAATCGTAATCTTTGGCTACTATACTGGACGAAGTCAGGTATGGAGTGAAGTCATAGCCTTTAGGCTGTGGTTCCTGGTCCAAAGAATCCTGCTGTTTCTTTGCAGCGGCAAGAAGTCGAAGTAACTCACTGTTAGGAAATTCAACATTCGGACCTACTGCACCAAGTTGAGAAGCGGGTGGCTTGAAGAGGGGTTGACCTGCTTGGGCCCAAGATGTGCTTCCACCCAGAGGTGGGATGGTCTCCAATTGTCCAAACTGAAATGGTCCAGTTGGTTGCTGCCAAAACAGTTTCTGCTCAGGAATTTCTGAATTGCCAGTTAATACACTAAATGGAAGCAAAGACTGAGACTGACTCTGCACAAGTTGGGTGTGTGTGGACACAATCGGGGTGACATGACCTTCTCCCTCTCTTGGAGCGTCGAGGTCAAAAATAGGAGAGTTACCTATGCCAAAAGAACCAAATGAAATGGCCGGACCACCTTGTTCTGGGGAACCACCACCGAACACAGATGACCCGACAGGTGTAGTGTCTACAGCTTTTTGTGTTTCTGAGAAGGAGAAGGGGGCGGATTCGGTTGAAGACACGGTTCCAAAGTTAAATGGGGATGGCCTCGACTTGTCCATGGCAGGAACACCAAAAGATGATAGAACAAAAGGTTGCGTTGATGACGGGTAGGTAGTAAAGGGAGATCCAGAGGATACTTCAGGCACTTGAGTGGCTTTTAAGGTGTCTCCTTGTGCTGCTGTTTTTTCAGTATCTGCAGAGAGTGGGGCTCCAAATGAAAATGACTTTGATGCTGCTGTAGATGTACTGAAGGAGGATGCTGTAGAAAAGACAAAGGTAAATGGAGAGCTACTCAGGGATCCCGCATCCTTTTGTTTAAATACAAAAGGGCTTCCTGAAGAAGAATTTTTGTGGCAGCTTGACAACATGCTTGTCTGTGGTGAACTGCTAGCAATGGACTCTTTTGGTAAGTGAAATCCAGACTTCAGTGGTGACTGATGAGTAGACGTTCCAGATCCTTCTGGCAGCTTTGGAGCTCCACACGCCACACAGACAGTTGTGCTCACGTCGTTTGGCACCCAGCAAACAGAGCAAGACCATGAACCTGGCTTTGGAGCAAACTTAGCCGCAAGGTCAGCAGTTGGATTGTATGTACCAGCTGTTATTCCTTGGCTCTTGGCATCTTTCTTTGGCACCTCCTGACACTCCTCGAACTTTTCCTTAAAAAGCAAGAATTCATCTGGTGTCTTGAATTTGACAGCTAACTGCTCTGCCCTTGCAACCTCTTCTGAGAAATCTGCCAAAGTGCTCCATATCCAACAGTTGGCTGTGGCTTTCTTTTCTTCTAACTTCATATCGGCTGTAATAACGTGATTGGCACAAACCTTGTGAACACCTTCACGTCTCATCAAGATTCGACTGCGTCCCTTCTCAGAATTATGCAGGATCTTCATAGTTCCAATGCCACGTTCTTTCCAGGCTGAAACATCCTTGTCGTATCGATACAACTTGGCTCTGCTGCTGAACATCGTAGTTTCATCTTCTTCTCCAGTTTGGACCTCAATTTGTTCAGGAAGGGGTATGAGGGGTTCAAAATGGATATCTTCAGTACAGGAAGCTGAGGAATCATGCCTCATTCTTCCAGGAGACGTGGGAGAAGGAACCTCCTCTGGAGGCTCTTTCACTCGATTCTCAGGGCTGTTGCTGCTGCCTAAGCCAGCGAAGAAATTGGAATAGATTTTTAGAGGTCCCTTCATGCTGGGGTGAGTGAGAGGCTTTGTACTTATTGAAAGAGGCGTCTGTCTTGTAGCAACGGGAGTGGATTCATATATGGGTTTACTTTGATCCCCTGGGCTCGAATATGAGGGTTCAGCGATACTGGAGTAGCCGTAATGCGATGACTGCAACAAGCTTATCTGCTTCTGTAAATTAAGAAAAGAACAAGGCTAACTTGTATGTAAGGTAACCAACGTTTACATAAGGTCCGACTGAATAACGTCAAAGAAAGTAACTAGTAAAAATGACGTGCTGGCAACACTTTATTTCTCTGTAAATAACAAAGCAATAATTTTGCTTAATTCTTTCGACTTACACTGGAGTATACGCAATTTGGCAAATGCAGCAAGCTAATCTGAATTATGTGAATGAAAGCAACGAGAAACGTTTTTCCACGTTATAGGCATGTTTATATCAGGTCCGATCAAACTTTGTCAGAGAAATAAGCGTTGCGTGAGTTGCAAAACCTAAAGTCAGAAAGGAATAAGTTCGCTACACTCCTTCAATTTACGGACTTAATGTCTTTATGTATCATAAGCGTAATAAAGGTACAGCACTGATACAAATCAAATACGTAAAATGTTTCTTCGAGAGAATTTTGGGCAAGACAAACTAGCACAAAGTGAGATTAACCAACCCTCAACATGCTGATTTCTTCTTGCATACTGGATATAGTTTCATCTCTAATAGACATCGCTTCATCCCTGATGGCCATCTGCTCCTGGAAATAGCCTTTGTTCAAGGCAACTTCACTGAGTGTTGCAATAAAATCTTTTGTATTTGGATCTGGTGGTGGCTAACAGGAAAAAAAATGCATTTAATTCAACGAGAGTAGGGAATCTTGGCTAAGGCTGTGGCAACATAGGTATTTAATATACTTCTACACGCGGAATGGCAATCAAAAACAAAATAATACGTAAATAGAGTCGAAAATCTCCACAACGACACTGGGAGAACGGAGCTCAGAGGCCGTTGACTAGCGAGGTGACACTTCATCAAATAGAGAAAGAGAGAACATGGGCATTGGCACACCAAGCCATTTGCACTAAAGGCGCCATTGTCATCATCATCATTATCATTATCACGATGGAAATCGATATATACATGTCTATGGATGTACACTACAACCCCAACATCATTGCAAATCGTGCCTCTGTACTTCAACCTAACAACTCAACAAATTATAATACTCAACCCAAAAGTTATCATCAGATTCCTGGGCATCAGATGCATTGGTGGAGCTCCGACTTTCCAGAAAGGTACGTCGGCGAGTATCTCGATGCTGGCCTAAAAAGCACAAACATTTGTCCAAAGGTTTTAGTGAATCTGAAATTGTTTACAACTCCGCGGAATATAATTCTGTAGTCAGTATATTCCACATCATTTCACAATGACTACAATTTTTTCGACGCACTCAGTGGACGAAAGCTATTGTCTGTAAGAGTAAAGACAAGCGAAAAGTTGCAATGATGGTAAAAAAAGTAAAGGCGCTCACAAGCCAAAGGCCCGAACTGCCGGAGCTTATCCTGGTTTACTTAGCATAAGGCATGCCTAGGAGTACTATTACTTCCCCCCTGGACGAGATGCTAGTCAATCGCAGGGTTACCCCCCAAAAGTATGTCGCGGTACCCATTTATACACCTGAGTCAAGAGAGACAAAGTGGAGTAAAGTTCCTTGTCTAAGGAAACAACGCGACGGGTAAGGCTTGAAGCCCGGACCTCCAGATCTAGAGTTCGAGTTGTTAACCGCTCGGCCACACACGCCTCCACAATGCAATGATGGCGCCATTGCTAATCTGTCCCTAACGCAATTTTTCAAAACGCGTTGCTGGGATAAGACGTTCAAAAGACAAGTGTCAGCGACTTTCTCTACACTCTTATACATAGTAAGACCACGCTTTTAGAGGTTGTTTACCCCGCAGAGGACTAACAATTACCGGAAAAAATTACCTGCCTTCTGCAAAGATTCAAGTCAGAGATTGTTACACATTAAGAGGGCTGTTCTGACCAGGGCCCAGTTGTTCGAGGGCCGACTAGAGCTAACCGAGGGTTAAATTTTAACTCGGGTCTCTCTTAATTTTTTTCTTTTCATCAAAAGTATTTTCTCGGCCAATTTTCTCCAGCCATTCATCAAATTGTAGACAAAAAGAATTAAACTGAATTTGCTTTTTAAGCTTTCATATCTGAATTCAAATTTCCAACTAACACTGGGTTATCTTAGCCCAGCTTTGAACAACCCGGCCAGCTTTATGTACCTGCGTTAGGTCGTGGGAACCCGCTTTTTATGAGCCTCTCAATCTCACTGAGTTCATCTAGAACAGCTTTTCGTCCAACCTTGGAAGAAATAGAAGAGACATTAAAAGGAAACAAATGTAAACTTATTGAACAACAAAAGATCTGAACAGTTCAACTCAACAACTACCAAGAGATTTCAAAGGAAACGGCAGTATTTCTAATTCGAGCTGTATTAAAACTGAGTGTTTATTTTTAGACAAACCTTAAGTATAGGTCCTTTGCTCACTCTTAGTTAGATCTTGGCAATTTACTCGGCCATATAGATTTCACTGAACACTTCAAGCTCTTACACTCATAATTTTATAGCAGACTCCTAGTTTTCAGTAACGACAAAAGCAAAAAATGGTACTGGACATACATCAGAAGATTTTGTCATTTTCAAGTAAGACTGGAGCAGATCTCGAGCTTCATGGAGATTCTGGTAATATTCTTTGGTTGGGCAGGCGCTTTCAGTATCTGTCTCTTCAGTGGCTGCACATGCTTCAACATGGGCAAGATACTTGTAAACCTAAACAACAATTGATGTACAACACAATTTTAAGACACCTAACTTTGGAGTCCGTGGACAAAAACTTTATGGTGTGACCATTCAAGAAGAACTTTCCTATTCTGAATTTCATTTTTGAGGGCAAGGGTTTTATCACGTGCAAAATGAACTTTGTTGGAAATAGTTTATAATTCATGCGATGTCTTCAAATGTCTCATAACGACACCACAACCCTCCCGCCAAGTGCATCTCTGTTGGACATGCAAAGACAGAGGTGTGTATGATGAGGGAGGACTACAAACAGTAAGATTAAAAAAGAGGATGTTTTATCACTCTGAAAGAACTTATGGCCGAAATTTTTTATGCACCTTCGCCTTCTGTACTTTACCCCTTTTACCCTGGGTTACGGATTTTTAACTGACGTAAGAATTCACAATTTACAAAATTATCCCCAAGGTACAGCTGTGATGATATTACCGTAAGCCCTTACGAGGAACACAGCAGTTTACTGTTTGAAGATTACCTGTGCGAGATTGTACATTCCTGGGGGAGTTTTGACCTGCTCAAACATTTCCATGGCGTCGAACAGCTTGCCTTCTTTCATCAACGCTCCACCGATGGCCAGGCGCACTGATTGGAGCTCTGCTCTCACATCATGCTCCTAGCAATAAAAAAGCCAATAACAGACAGGCCTGTTGAATGTTACGCTTTTTACAGTACAGTACAGGAAGTTCCCATGAAACTCCGAGTGCTACAACCAGTTGCAAAAATGTTGAGACACTCTCACGGAAAAACAACCTGTTTTGCTTCAAATCGCTGCTAGTCAGAGGTCTGTGAGATAAAATACTGACCTTCCCCCTCCCCCCATTCAAAGTTGTTCCTCCAAGTTTTGAGCATGGTCTTGTATTGCTAGCAACTTTGAAAAGGGGTGGAGGGGGGGTCACAAGCACAAGATCATGGACAAGCCATTTAAGCCAAAATACGGTACAGTGTCTCAAGTACTTTTGCAACTGGTTATAGCACCAAGGTAGAAATGGGAACAACCAGGGGAAGTGAACAGAAAAATACTAGAGACAACAATATTTGTGTAGGTCAGACAAGGAAATTGTTCCCACCAGACAGGCAACTATTTATGCTCTGGGCAAGCAACATTTATGAGCTATTTGTCTAAATGACCAATGGAAACTCAAGCCCCGGAATTTCAGAATGACGAAGAACGTTGAATCAAAAATAATAACTCAGACCAATTAAAAAAAACGCTCCGTTTTTGTATTTCACTGACCTGTAATGTGTCAAACACGTCAGGAAAGAGGGGCTTATCACAATACGGCATACTCTCATCCCTAAAAAAGGCAAAATTTTATGTTAACAAATATATAAATGAAATTAAAAACAGAGAAAAAGGTCCAGTTTATAACAATTAAAGAAGGAAGAAGAAGACAATAACTTGACGCTCAGAGTTGAAAATACCGCGCTTAAAATTATTGTCTTCCTTTTAGCATTCATCAGATTAAAGAGTACTGACGAGACAAAGAAGCTGGACTCCCAAACCAGCAAGCAAATGAAGATCTGCAGTTAGCCTGCATGCAAGCGCGCCTTTTTGAGAATAGTGAAAAGCAATGGGTCATGTGACGTCTTTTATTCGTGCATGACGTTTCAAATATTCAGCTAGAGAGTCAGGCTGTCTACTGCATATGAGCTACAACGCTTGACAAACTATGCTGCGGCACGTGATGCGTGACAGAGGTCCTGCTTGGGTAAAATTCTGACAAGTTCTTTGGCCTTGAAACAGCAACAAAAACAGCTGAAATGACGACAAACGACAACAGATGGGTTGAAACTTTAACAGTGACGAAGTTGAGAACAAATATAATAGTAAAATACCGGCAGGGACATGGCTTCCTTCTCAATACAAGAAATGATGGGTTTAGAAATTCTGACCAGAGTGATTTACCCCCCCCCCCCCCTAATTTTAAGACACCTAACTTTGGAGTCCGTGGACAAAAACTTTATGGTGTGACCATTCAAGAAGAACTTTCCTATTCTGAATTTCATTTTTGAGGGCAAGGGTTTTATCACGTGCAAAATGAACTTTGTTGGGAATAGTTTATAATTCATGCGATGTCTTCAAATGTCTCATAACGACACCACAACCCTCAAGCCAAGTGCATCTCTGTTGGACATGCAAAGACAGAGGTGTGTATGATGAGGGAGGACTACAAAGAGTAAGATTAAAAAAGAGGATGTTTAATCACTCTGAAAGAACTTTTGGCCGAACTTTTTTATGCACCTTCGCCTTCTGTACTTTACCCCTTTTACTCTGGGTTACGGATTTTTAACTGACGTAAGAATTCACAATTTACAAAATTATCCCAAGGTACAGCCGTGTTGATATTACCGTAAGCCCTTACGAGGAAAACAGCAGTTTACTGTTTGAAGATTACCTGTGCGAGATTGTACATTCCTGGGGGAGTTTTCACTTGCTCAAACATTTCCATGGCGTCGAACAGCTTGCCCTCTTTCATCAACGCTCCACCGATGGCCAGGCGCACTGATTGGAGCTCTGCTCTCACATCATGCTCCTAGCGATAAAAGAGCCAATAACAGACAGGCCTGTTGAATGTGAGGCTTTTTAATGAGGTTAAATAAATATTTATTTAAAAGAGTTAACAACAAGGAGCGCGAGCGTGGTCAGCGGTCGGTCGTTTGGCTCAAGCGCGGTCAGCCTTGCTTGCATCACCTCCATGTGCTCAGTACAGTGTTTTCATGTAGGCCATTCTCTTCGTTTAGCCTTTGGATCATTCTTTTACCCCCATCCCTCCCCCCCACCCCCCTTAATTGTTCCACTGTTAATCAGTGTGACGGGTGCCTGGTTCCATTGGCGTGGGGGCTCATGGCTGGAGGGCGTGGGTTTGCCAGCCATGGGGGCGTAACTCTGTCTAGGGGCTGGCCGTGCCATAGGTGGGAGCCCCTGGACATCCCGGGCACCCACCTCCACTCAGCGGCGCAGTTGTTAACAGTACAGTACAGGAAGTTCCCAAGAAACTCCGAGTGCTAGCACCAAGGTAGAAATGGGAACAACCAGGGGAAGTGAACAGAAAAATACTAGAGACAACAATATTTGTGTAGGTCAGACAAGGAAATTGTTCCCACCAGACAGGAAACTATTTATGCTCTGGGCAAGCAACATTTATGAGCTATTTGTCTGAATGATCAATGGAAATTCAAGTCCCGGAATTTCACAATGACGAAGAACGTTGAATCAAAAATAATAATTCAGACCAATTAAACAAAAACGGTCCGGTTTTGTATTTCACTGACCTGTAATGTGTCAAACACGTCAGGAAAGAGGGGCTTATCACAATACGGCATACTCTCATCCCTAAAAAAGGCAGAATTTTACGTTAACAAATATATAATTGAAATTAAAAACACAGAAAAAGGTCCAGTTTATAAGAATTAAAGAAGGAAGAAGAAGACAATAACTTGAAGGTCAGAGTTGAAAATACCGCGCTTTAAATTGTTGTCTTATTTTTAGCATTCATCAGATTAAAGAGTACTGACGAGACAAAGAAGCTGGACTCCCAAAGCAGCAAGCAAATGAAGATCTGCAGTTAGCCTGCATGCAAGCGCGCCATTTTGAGAATAGTGAAAAGCAATGGGTCATGTGACGTCTTTTATTCGTGCATAACGTTTCAAATATTCAGCTAGAGAGTCAGGCTGTCTGCTGCATATGAGCTACAACCCTTGACAAACTATGCTGGGGCACGTGATGCGTGACAGAGGTCCTGCTTGGGTAAAATGTTGACAAGTAATTTGGCCTCGAAACAGCGACAAAAACAGCTGAAATGACGACAAACGACAACAGATGGGTTGAAACTTTAACAGTGACGAAGTTGAGAACAAATGTAGTAGTAAAATACCGACAGGGACATGGCCTTCCTCTCAATACAAGAAATGATGGGTTTTGAAATTCTGACCAGCGTGATCTACCCCCCCTCTAAGAGGGTTTCTTAGTGTCATTGTTATACCAAGTTTAGACGCGGCAATATGCCTCCCATAAAAAGAAACAAGCCAGCTGTCAGGCTTAAATCGAACATGTATCCTTTGTGCTCTAGAATGAGCAATGGTGATGCTAGGTAGTTAGGATGCGTAGCTCACACAAACCTAGAGTATGACTTAGGATCACCATACTCTCCATTCACGAAGGTAACTGGTTCGAATTTTCTTTCTGACATAATACTATTATAACTGTACATTATACACAGGTGCTGCAGGAGATGGTGTTGGTGCTGCAAGAGAGGTTGTGGAAGAGTTTCAAACGTGTCAGAAATGCCCAAACACAAGCGTGCAAACAGAGTGGGCGGCAAACTACAGCTATACACAGAAATGTTAAAGAAAATATAACACACAAGATATAGCATAGTTAGGGGGAGGATGGAAGAACGACTGGAAATTCTTTGATGGAATGCAGACACCTTTGTGTGGTAAAGAATATTTAAGCGATTTAAAAAGTCACTCACTTTTCGAACTTTTCCAAAATGGCAAGGGCCTTACGCAGGTAATGCATACCCCATTTTTCAAGACTCTAGAAAAACAAAATAGTTTAAATGATACAAAGATATAAAAAGCCCTATAAATGGTGCATTAAAACTAAAAAAAGTTAAACAAAGTTGTAACGATTTTCCTATTCATGTATTTCAGCACTGATAACCTGTGGGGTAGTCTTCTTCAGAGTTAAAGTGAGTTGTATCACATCAGTTAGCCTGCGTAGCAGGTGCTTGGAAGTAGTGGGCGAAAGAGAGAACGGGCGCGCGCTAGGGAGACACGCGTGTCTCCTTCTCGCGCGCGTTTTTTCTTGTGCCCACTACTGTCAGAATTAAGCCTGGATGTTAATGGCTATGAAGACTCTAAATGTCATTTGTGCATTTCAATCTGCGCACAGTTTAATGGCTTTATTGTTAGTCAACGTGTTGGTTGTCTATTCATTGAAAAGAGTTTGTGTTCATTATTTCATAACATGCACAAAGACCTAACCCTGTAGTCATTCACTGAAGTGAATGCCACTACACACCTTCCAATGCTCCTCATAGTACCAAGGGTTTTCACCACTACTCTTCAAAAAAGATGCCTAAAAGAAAAAATAAATATACTTTTGGTCAGTTTGTCGACTACACTGTGCATTTCCGAGAAAATTCTTCCAGTGGGAAAGTGAATTTTTGTT